CTTTCCTGTGTGGATTCTCCTTCACATCTTTCTAATTACACTTTTGACTACAATCCTTGACTGATACTAAAATAGGGGACATCTCAGCTGTTCTGCTTTCATATTTTTCCACATCTGTATCTTGCATGCACCCCTGTAAATCACTGTGGTAACACTTTAATATGTTGTATACCTCTACATAGAATTTTTCACTGACCTTTTACTGTGTATGTTGTACATGACAATAACAGTATATGTGCATTAGTTGTATTTTTCTTTGCAGTCTGTCACTTGCTGTTTAATTTCTATTTAAACACCATCAGTACTCCCCTGCTGTCCTATTGGCTCTGCCTCTTCCTTCACTCTGAGACATTACTCTGAAACTCCTCCCAGGAAGCCTCCTTGGCTGTTTCATGCTTCACATCTTTGGTTTGATGCAGAAGCAGAAGGAGCTGCAGGTTTGGGATTTGTCTTGTTTGTTGGATTCATGTTCATTTGATCATTTAATCCCATGTTTACCTGCAGCGCTGACTTGTGTGTTTGTTTTCATGCTGGATAGGACCATGTGGAATACTTTCTGCCAAACTACCTGACAGTCCAGACACAAGGTGAGACGACTACTTCATTGCATTAATGATTTAAAAAAAAAATCTGAAGCCTGAATTAGTCATTGTGGAAAGTTATTTCAGAATTCTTTTAACATTTTCTGCTGTCTTTTGTGTAATTTGATATGAAAACTGTAAACAAGTCCCCTGATAGTTCTTCCAATCGTGTCACTGATGTCGAATCAGTGCAGCTCTATTATTAGATAAATAACCAGTGAGTGAATAAACCCGTCAGCGGCTGAGTGTGAATGGTGCGGCTCAGTGAGGACTGTAGCAGTGTGGGTCTGTACAGTGTGTTCAGTGTGTTTTTAGTTGAGTGGGCTCAGCTCAGTACAGTCCACAGTGGGCAGAGAGGTTCATCAGTTCACATGAATGCTGGCACTGGTCCTTCTCTCCTCCTCCTCTCACTTTCATTCCTTTTCATCCCCTTCCTCTTTCAGACTTGCCTTTTGTTTCTCTTCTTTCATCCTCTGCCGCTGATTTCCTTCTAAATGTCTCACGTCCACATGTGTGGCTGAAGAAGTCCAAAAGACAAACACTGATGAATCCATTTACTTCTCACAAACTTTCCTCCTCCTAAAGCACCAACTTTCTAGCTAAAGTCTCTCCCTGGACATTCATCATTATTCCCATCACTCCCTTGTCTCAGGATGTCTTGGCCGGCTCTGTACACTCAGCTGGTCGGGGCGAACCGTCACTCCACCAGTCTGGGGAAGATCTGGCTCTCCGTGCTGTTTATTTTCCGGGTCATGGTGCTGGTTGTTGCTGCAGAGAGCGTCTGGGGGGACGAGCAGTCGGACTTCGTCTGCAACACGCTGCAGGTAGGACCAGTCGGTGGTAGAGTCGTGTTGGTCAGAATGTATTTGTTAACGCGTAATTGTAAAAACCGAGCATTAACAGATCCACAAACCCTTTTTACTGGCGGTGTTTTGACACACCATCGTTATCTGGACAGTTGTGCACCTGGTTCAGTTTGAACAGATCCATTTATATCATGTCTTTGTCCAGTTTGACTCTAAAGATGTGCTGAAAGTTTGAGAAACACCTGAATCCTGCTGCTTCACTACCTCATGTCACCACTGATGTTCTGTATTCACATCGTCGTGCCACGCTGCATATGTTTAAATAGCAAAACTAACAAAACTAACCATTAGCACGTCATTTTTATCTTGACGGCTCAAATCAATGCTTACAGCAAGTTGTTATATTAAAGTGAGACTATATCACGTCTGAAAGATGATATGACTCAAGCTTCCTTTAAAAGTTGAACTTATAAGCAATAAAACTGATGTTCAGCTGATAAAACTGAGATGTTTCCCTGCTTCAGCCTGACCTGGACCAGTGTGACCAGTAGCTTCTGTTAGCTGGAGCTTCAGCTGGATGCTGTTGACCTTCTGACCTTCCTCAGCCTGTGTTTCTGATGGTTGATTTAGTTCAGATCACCTTAAAGCTGCAGTGCAGGACTTTTACATCTAAATGACGTCTGTTACTTTTAAGTTCCCACAGTGCTGACTGAGCCTGTCACCTTTCTGTGTTTTTCACAAAATACCAGCGTTTTACATCCGCTCGCTGTGATGACACTCTGCTGCTCAGGTAACGATGTTTTACGTCAACCAGCCATGATTGGTTTGCTGAAGCTGGAGTAAGAATGAGCTGCTGCACCAGAGATGGAGAAGGCTTCAGCTGTGGTTGCATCTCAGGTGGTGAAACAGCAACCAGGAGGGAAACCAGGGCAGCGACAAGTGACTGTGTAGCTTCTCTCACTGCCACAAGGGGGAGACAGAGTGGCTTTTCTCATGACATGTGCCTTACTGTTGGTTCTGTTCTTCTTTAGACTTTAAAGCAGGGATCTCCAGCTCTGGTCCTTGTGAGCTGCTGTCCTGCAACACACCTGACTCCGATTAATGGGTCGTTAACAGACTTGTGTAGAACTTAACAAGCTGTTGATGATCCATTAATGTGAGTCAGGTGTGTTGCAGGACAGCAGCTAACGAGGACCAGATTTGGAGATCCCTGGTTTAATCTGTTCTCTTTTTCACCTGAAGCATTTTTTTTCCCGCCCACACTTTAAGCAGTCTGCTAGCTCTCCATTGCTACAGTTGCTCCCCTCTTTGGACCTGTCGAACCAATCCCTGCTGGTCGATGTAAAACCACAACCGCAGACCTTTGACCTAAATCTTCAGTGAACTGTTCTGTTTGTACTCAGTGTCGTCTGTAACGGCTTTTTAATGGCAGATATACAACACAAATGTCACTGTCATCTCTGATGCTCACACATTACAGAGACATGAATAATAACGTCCTGAACCAGGAGCCTGGTGAATCCCACCACCCTCCATCTGCGGCACTGTTCACTCACTGACCTGTGACCTCACTGGAACAGGGATCAGCTGATCAGATGTCGTATTTGTGTGTGTTTTTGTTTCCAGCCTGGCTGTGAGAACGTCTGTTACGATCAGTTCTTTCCCGTCTCCCACATCCGTCTCTGGTGTCTTCAGCTGGTCTTCGTCTCCACGCCGACACTCCTGGTCGCCATGTACGTGGCCTACCGGAACCACAAAGACAAGAAGAGGCTCATGCAGGTCTGTGTGAGAGACCTGGTGGTGTTTCATGGACTGTGATGTTATGCCATATCCTCTGGGTTCCTACTATGTCCTGATGTCATGCCGTAAAAAAACTTGTCCCATGTCTATGTAATGTTGTGTCCTCTCCATGTCCTTACATCTCATGTGATAGAAGGACTCTCATGTCCAACATGTGTCTCTGCATGTCATGTCTTTACTGGTTGTGTCTTGTTGGCTGTCTTAACTTGTCATCTCATGTCTTTCATCTAGTCACCACATGTCTTATCTTGTCATGTCCTATCCTCTGATGACGTCACCTGTCTTCTCAGATCATGTCTTCACTTTTGTCAGGTTGTGTCCTTCATCTTGTCACCTGATGTCTCGTCTGGTGTCGTCTCTGATCTTCTCTCCTTGTGTATCGTGTCGTGTTGACACCTGAAGTCTTGTCTCATATCCTGAGACGTGTGTTTTTATTATCGTCATGTGCTTCTGGCTAATTGGGAAACGAGCCAATTGCAGATACACAAGGCAGGAAGTCCAGACAACACAAACTAACTTTAGTCAGAAACTTACTGAAGGGTTAACGGAGGTCAGAGGGAACAGAGAACAGAGGCTGGAGGTCCAGGGACAAACTCAGGCTACGTTTAACTGAAAGCAACAAATCCAAGAAAATGAAGATCATAAAGACATGCAGAGCAGATCGATGCAGGAAACACATCTCACATATCTACACAGAGAAGTAATGAGGAAGCAAGACACATGAATGAGGTGGAGCAAACGATCAGGAAGGAGGGAAAACAAACAGTGAAAATCAAAACCAAAGCCTGAAGGCAGTCATGTCACGTCTAACTTTCTTTCATGCTGATTTGTTCTGTCCGTCCTGTGCCACAGAGTTCTGGCAGAGCTGGTTTCCTCAGCAACAAGGGTCAGGAGGAGGAGGTGGAGGCTCTGAAGAAGCGCAGACTCCCGATAGCCGGAGCTCTGTGGTGGACGTACGCCTGCAGCCTGCTGTTCCGGCTGCTGTTTGAAGGAGGATTCATGTAAGACCTGCGATTCTTATCATCAGTCAGTTTATCACACGGCCTCGGTGGTCTAAGCACTCGGTGTGTCTCTCTGCAGGTACGCCCTGTATGTGGTGTACGACGGCTTCCAGATGCCCCGGCTGGTGCAGTGTGACCAGTGGCCGTGTCCCAACCTGGTCGACTGCTTCATCTCACGGCCCACAGAGAAAACCATCTTCACTGTTTTCATGGCCACGGCCTCCTCCATCTGCATGGTCCTTAACATGGCCGAACTCGCGTATCTTGTCGCCAAGGCTGTCACTAGGTAGAAGTATTACTCAGTCAGACAGTCAGGTGATTAATCAACTGATTGATTTCCTAATTATTTGATCGATTAATGTTTTTGTCGACGTTAGAATTGCAAAGCGTGTCGACGGCGGTCACAGCTTTCAGGCTCTTCGTCTGTATTAGCAAATTATGCAAACCTTGTTCTTGCAGGGCTCTGTGTGGTCAGAGGGAGAGGAGAGCCAGCAGGGACAGAACGCAGAGTAAGACCAACCAGAGGTCACTTGTCTCAACCTGAGGAGCAACAGGACGGATCCAGAGACTGAATACACTGTAAAGCTGCATAGTTCCAAGTGGAGCACATGTGAATGAGCCGTCAGTGTAAATACAAGTGAGCACGTTGAATGAAATCAAAGTGAAATTTTCTGTGAAACCCGGATTGTTGAAATGAAACATTCAAGGGGTGGAGAGGATGTCAGCGACTCTAGACTGTATTTAAAGACCGGATGTCAATAATTTGTACCAAAGCGTTGTTCGTAGAGCAGCTGGACGATGTGATCACGTGTTGTCTATTCTTACATTAGGGTTCTAACTAATGCAACAATAGACGAACACAGATGGTTCAAAGTTCCATCGACTGGGCAGAAAGAAAACTGCATGAGGAGATGTGTGAGGGTTCACTAGCAGCTACACACTCTGTATACTGTGTACACACACACACACACACATGGTTGTACTTTTCATGGATTCATTGAATAACAGTTCATTGAATAGAAACACACTCACAAGTTCTCACTTCACAAATAAAGTTTCTTCTTATCTTTGTTTTGGTTTGTCTGCTAGTTTCACTGAACACACTGATCCCTGACTGTTCCAAGGATCAGTCACACACCAGCGTCACATGTTTTTGCTTCTTTAATGGGAGGCTATGAATACATTTGTCCTGATCAGCTGCCTCATCAGCAGCAAGTGTCCACACCTGCACAGAGGCTCACCTGCCTCCAGCCACCTCTCCCATGAAGCCCAGGTCAGGCCTCACTCTCTGCCACGCTAACACTGGTTCCCTTTCTATCCTTTGTTCTTCTCTTTGGATCATTCTCTTCTTGTTTCTGCTGCCAGAACCTCTGGACTCTGAACTAGCCGTCTGGTTTTCCTGCTTGCCAAAGTTTTTTTTCCTCTCTTTGCTTTGCTCAGTGTCGTTGCTCAGCCGGTAGTTCATGTTGCGTCTCAACCTGTAGCTTTATGTGTTATCTCTTGCCTCCTGGGAGTTTGTGTTATTTTGTCACCTGCACTTTGATTTCACTGTAAAATTCTAACTAATGATGTCGGGCTCTGGGTCCTCTGGTAACCTGTGACGTTATGTTTCCCAACTGATGCACTGCAATGACCTAAATATCTACTTAAACACAGCATCCTCACATTCATATCGTAAATCACACAATTAAATGGGAGAAATAAACAAATAGATCCCTAACCACAGGATGTATATTACTTAATATAAATGCAAAACTAAAGGATGCCATTGGCAGTGATTTCCATATGAGAGCTTTGTGTGTTTGTTTGAACATTTCCAGAGATGCTGCTTCACACTGAAAGTTATAAAAACACAAGACAGAAGAAAGTTAAGAAGTGAACAGGACAGGTGATATAATCTGATCTACTACAGGTGGTGATGGAGCACTGTGTGGACTCTGCTGCCCTCTGCTGGTGAGCACGTCAAACTCCATTGATCCAGTAGAAAACTTAAACTTTACCTTCATTTTTTTTTAATGGACATTAGCATGAATAATGTCTGGTAAATTATATATTTATCATGTTAGTCTTACTTATATTGGAAAGAAATATTCTGTAGATTTAGAATTTAACAATGTTAGTAATTTTTACACCTGTCTGAACCTTCAGCCCTGAACTTTCACACTTTGTATTTGTTTGTTTGCTTTTTTTTTAAGCATATTTTTATTTGGTGCCCTTCCTGCTAGATTTTATTGTTTTTATACTTTGTTTGTTTGTTTTACAGGGTAGATTTTATCCTGTTGCTAAACATCATCCTGCCTAGTTGTTTAATATCCAGCTGTTACATCCGAAAAAAATCTAAATATTTTTGCCCCCTGTTTCTCAAAATAGTAATTGTTTTAAAAAATTTTTTTTTTACAGCAGTTAAACCTGCTTAAATATTATTTTGCATGTATTTACTGTTATTTTCACAGCTTTTTTTTGCAGTTGCTGAAGGTTATAATATTCCATCATTATTTAACGTGTTTTTTCTGGTATCCTTGCTGCCAGATGTTTTCTCACTTTTCCCGGGTAGCTGTTGGCCTCCTGCTGACTATGAGCCGAGCTTCTTCCACCAGCAGCCCAACATGAGCCCACTGCTGCTGCAGCAGCTGGAGCTCCAGAGGAGCTTCTACCAGCAGATCAATGGTCATGTTGGACTGAATGGAGCGCTGTGCAGGTTGATGATGGGATGTCGGTCTCTGCCCCCCGTCTATACCCACGCATACATGCACGCGCACACAAGCACGTATCCCCCCTCGTGCGCCCCCGCACGCGGACACTGACAGTGGCCTCGGGGCACGCGGGACGCAGCCGCTGCGCTTCGCCTTCGCGGGTCACACCGGACCAGCCGCCCGTCTTTTTTTTTCTGAAACTCTCTCCCCCTCTCTCTCCGGAGCTCCGTGCCATTCTCTCTCTGTGTCTCTCTCTCTCCCTCCCCCCTCCTCTCCCACCAACCTCACCTCTCCCGGTTGCCTGGAGCCCACCCGCGGGACTAAAAGAAAGAAGAAGAAGAAGAAGGAGTGACGGGAAGAAGCGCGCCGCCGGCAGGGAGACGTGTTTCAGAGGAGGCGGTAAGCAGCTGGAGGCTGGGTGATGCTGAAGGGGGAGGGAAGAGGAGGGATTATCATCCTTCCACCTGCTGGATTATCAGCACCTCTCACGCTGCGTTCACTCCCCTGTGGGAGAGACCAGACCAAGGCTCAGCATCACACCAGAATCACTTGAGAGCTTTTAGACCAGATGGTAAAACTCTGATGTTTGGAGGCCTCATGAGATGTGCTGTTATTTATTCAAACAAGCTAAACCTGGTAAAGCTGCAGGAACAAACTGTTGTTTAAACCAGTCTTCTGTAGTGGAGCAGACCAACCTGCAGGACGTCCTCCTGACACTTTATCTTCCTGGTTCAGTAGAAACTGTGTCTGGTTGTCCATCTGTAGATGTTTAATGTTAACATGACAGGACACAGGTTCCTACAGGTTTTCTACTTGTTGATCTGCTTTAGATGACTTTCAATCATCAGTGCAACAAGCAGACTGAAGTTTTCCTTCATCACTAGCTGTTTGTTGAACTGATTATTTCTGTTTTTCCCTTTTTCTGCTGGACCTTTGATCCATCATGTTGCTCTCTTGGGGCCCAAACCTTGATGATGCTTGAGTTCGTCCACTCAGTTTTTTTATTTATGCACATTTCTTTTCCAGTCGTGTGTTCTGCTGCTCACACGTGGACGTCTTTACTCTCTGATATCTGCTCACACCTGCTGCACTTTTCTGTACATTGCACACCGTCGTGCTCCTTCATTCACTTTTTTTTTTTTTACAAATCTTTGCACATCTTTGGCGACGTGACACATAGTTTGTGCAACTTTATCCATCTTTACAAAAACAGCATGTAGCTTTACAAACTTTATGCACATTTATTTTCACTTTGAGGCGTTTTTCTGCACGTTGACACACAGACTGAGTGAGTCTGAGCTCTTATCAGTGTGTGGAATCGTTTCTTCCACAATGAACATTTCTCATATTTACATGCATGGAGTCGTGACCAGATGTAAGCGAGTCTCATCTAAACACCTCAGAATGTTTGTGGATGCACCATAAGCTGCTTGATTAATGGGCAGAACTGTCTTTTGTGCGACTGTCTGCACATCTTGAAAAGGGTTTCGGGGTGCACACGGCAGGCCAAGAGTTAACTGTTTGGGCTGTTTTAGCACAAAGACCTCTGATCCATCGAAAGCACACAGCAGCCAGGACAATGTCCATCTGGCAGCTTCTCCATTGTCCGCCGTGACAGATGGTATTTCATCACGTCAACACATCATGTACATGTACACACGCCGCTGATGGATTCATGTATCTATAGACGGCTGCGTGGCCCCGTCATTCGCTGGCCGGGATTCAACTGTACGGCTTCAGACACAGTGTTCAGAGCCGGCTTTAGCAGACAGGCTTTGAAACTTTAACTGTATGCATCACGACTGTAATATTTTAATCGTGTCCCAGCTGTTTCATCAGTCTGCTGCTTCTCATGAGGGGGAATCAGGTTTTTTATTTAGCATATCCCCTGTTGGCAGGTGATCACGCTGTCGGCGGCCTCCTGGTGGCTCAGACACACACACACACACACACAGCAGAGGACGCTACTGTAACTGTCAGAGTGTGTTCATGTCTGTGTGTGCTCATATCGGTGAATCCCGGGCAAACATTTGCCCCCCTCAGCATTCCTGGGATGTGATGAGTCCGGCATTCAACAGGGACGACCCGTTATCCACTCATTCACTTCCCACAGATGGCCGGCCTTTGTCCACGAACCGGCCGGCCGTGCACACGCTTGTGCACACAAACACTTACACATCTGTGAGCAAATGTACACTGTGCAGCAAATGCATGAGGGAGTTTTTCCTGCATGCATTTACACACATGATGACACAGTTGGTCTGTCTTTACAGAGGATAAAGAGCAATCTAGTGTTAGAACTGGACTGATGTGTCAGCCAGGGGGACATACTGGCCACTGCATATATGGCTGAAGCTCACCAGATTTCATATTTCATCATGCAGCACCATCAGGGAGTGACCTGATGGTTCCCAACTTCATTCTGCAGCACGACAACAAGCCCAAACACACAATCAGTCATCTTCAACAAGTCTGGCTTCATGTGTTTCCTCCTGATCTCAGCACCATAGAGTCATAGAGAGACACTGAAGCCACAGAGGAATTATGGTAAAGATGTCTGGAACAATCCAAACGTCCTCAAACGTTTGTCCAGTCATTTATAAAAGCTGCAGCCTGGAAACAGTTTTAAAGGCAGAGGAGGCTTTAAATGTACTGAGCACCATCTCCACTGCCCAGTTTGTAATTAGAGAGAGTTACAAAATGTTCAGGTATGGAAACTAAATCATTATTGATCTTAGTTTCTAAAACCCGGGTTTGATTTTTGGGGATCTGATCAGAGCGTTGTGTCTCTCCTTCCAGATACAGATTTCTTCTGATCTCTGGTCGATGGATTTCTCACTGACAACACAACAATATTTTAGTAAGTCTGGTTTTCTTTTCTTTAATACATTCCAGAGTCATTTTTAACTCTAAAGTGTTTTTCTTTCTTCCAGTTAGCGCTAACGTGGCTGCTGTGAACGTTGTCTTATTCTCACATGGCCAGAGCTTCTCTAATAGTCGGGACAGCTGCCTTGTTTTCTGTAATTGTGTTGGTAAAATGCCTGTTGACCAGCGTTTAAGACAGTAATTTTCCAATTATGCCGAGGCAGAGTAAGGCGCAGGTGTTGGTTATAGTTTGGCTAAGAGCTACTATTACTGAATAACTGAGTGCCGGATGAGGATGAAGCTCCAGAGATCCCCGTCGTCACCACAGTGCTTCTCGTTCTCGTATCTGTGAAGACTTTTGTGGCTTTCAGATGAAGAACTAATTCCAAATTTCCAGGCTAAATAGATGGATAGAATAAAATAAGCCTAACTCTAATCACTAAGCCTCTTACAATTAAACTATACATTCACGACC